CTCCGTGTTACTAGCTTATGCTAATAGCACGTTCTGAAGCTTAGTCAGAAGACAGTCCGCCTAAGGCTTATGTCTAATTGGGATCGAATACAAAATGTAAGGGGCTGCGCTCTGGGGAGCAATCGCGAGGTATACAAGAGGTTGTATTCGATGAGGAGCTAAGCTCCCAAGCTACGTAGCTGTCTATATACAAGCTGGTTACCCGAGTAACAATCGGACCGGTGAAGTCTAGGTGCACGAGGCAGCTTCTGGGTCCTGCGGCTGTCGTCTGAACGTCGTTCGGGCGGTGCGCAGAGAATCCGGGTGCTCGAGACAGCACCCGGGTTCTGCGAGTAGGCCGAGATTCCATCGAGGAGCTATCCAAAGGGCGTTCAGCCCGTTACAGTTTAGCTCTGATTTCTTAATCTATAAAGATCTAATCAACACTATACTTATAAGCTACTAAAATAACGTCGAAACCTATCTTTAAAAGCTATTAAGGCTTACTCTGAGCTTAAAAGCTCGCAAAATCGAACTGCCTGATCGATTTATTGCTGCGCTAATACTTAATAATTTAAGTTAGAATTTAATTATCTTACTACCGCGATCACGCAAGACTTTAGATTAAATAAAGAAATTAATCTTGAAATGATGTGCAGCTAGATTATTAACGAATCCAGACGTTTTAGATCTATTAAGAATAGCTCTAGCAGCTTAAACAGCTTGATCTAAAGGAGCTATATTAAATCTTATCGATCCAATCTATCCCATCGATCTAATCTATCCTATTGATCCGATCCATCCCATCGATCTGATCTATACTATCGATCTAATTATAGATACGATCAATCTTATTGATCTTATCAATCTAAGGATATAGAAATGTCCTTATCAACTCAGAAATCCAACAGAAGCTCGAAGCACTGCAGCTACTGCAGAAGAAATGGGCATCTAGTTGATTAATGTTGGCAAAAAGATCCATCTAAGCGCACCAACCAGAGCTTATTCAAAACGGAAGAAGCTCTATCTACGATTGTATCAGTAGACCAAAATATCGCTGATATCAATACTACTAGATCCATCCAATCTACCAAATCTATTGAGTGGATACTAGATAGTGGAGCTAGTGCGCATATCTGCTGCGATCGAACTCTATTCTGGAATCTTACTAGTGTATCTAATACCTATATTAAATGAGGTAATATAGGAACACTACTACTAGTAATAGCCAAAGGAGAAGTACTAATTATATTCACTAGCACTAGCAGATTAGTAGTGCTAAAAGAAGTACTCCTTGTACCAGACTTTCGTGTTAATCTATTAAGTCTCTATTAAGTAGTCTAAAAAGGAGCAGAATTCTAATTTGCTAAGAACTATAGTCTAATTACTCGTTCTAGTAAGACACTAGCTAAGGGATAATACGCTTAAAAGATCGCGATCTTTACTACGATCAGCGATATCTATTAAACTAATTAGATCTATGCAGAGATTAATAACTCAGTATAACTAATCGATCTATTAGACTAGCTGAATCTATTATCTGATATATTAAATCTATCCGAATAATTAGATCTATTAGAATAGTTTAATTAATCGAAATCTATCGAATAGAAGAATTAGATATCTTTACTACACCGACGTTTTAGCTATATTAGACAAATAAGCTTAAATAAGCTTCGTGAAAATACCGATGGCATTAAATTAAATATTAAGACTAGTAACTTATTTAGTAATTGCGAGATATGCTTAAAAAGTAAATTTGCTAGTAAAATAAGCAGAGATCACATCTTAACTCTAGTTAATAATTTTAGCGATCTTATCTACTGCGATTTAGGAGGGCCTATTAAGCTAAAAATAAATAAGGGCTATAGGTACTATATAACCTTTCTTAACTACTATACTAAGTATCTAGAAGTCGATCTTCTTATATCTAGATTAGAGCTTATAATACTAGTTAAAGCTTTTATTAAACGAGCTAAAGTATAGGATTTAAAGTAGATTAAGCTTATCTAATTAGATAATAAGCTGAATACGAAAGATCTGTAGAAGCTCTTAAATAGAAAAGGTTCTAAACTCTAATTTACCCCTCTATTTAATCTAGAAGGTAAAGGTGTAGCTGAATGGATTAATTGAATACTATTTAATAAGATTAGAGCTCTACTATTTAAATCTAAAATGCTAAATAAGCTATAAGTAGAAGCCTTACTCTTAGCAGTATATCTATATAATAGAACGCTATATAGTTCTATTAGCTTTTAAATACTATTTAAAGCTAAATATAGATATAAGCTAAATATTAGCAATATTAAAATTTAGGGATCTCTAGCACATCAAAAAGAGCTAAAAGAATTTATTAGTAAACTTGATTCTTGAGTCTAGCTATACTATCTTATTAGCTATCTTAGTAGTAATCTATATCGACTAATTAATCTAAAGTCGAATAAGATTGTAACTGCGAGAGATGTGAGAATACTTAAAGGAGTGTTTAACGATTAAGCTCACGATTACAAATCGCAACTCGAAATCGATTAAGAAATTAATTAAGAAACTGATTAAAATCTCTATCTGAAGAGAGATTAGATGAAGACGTTAAAAATTAATTAAAACGTTGATTAATCCACCAATCAATCCACTAATTAATGGAGAATAGTTAGAAAGAATTTAATTGTTCTAATTAAGAATAGAGCTAGAATAGCTGTATTAGCTCTATCTACTAAAGTTTCTATAGAGGATATTATTCTAGAGGAGATCTTATTTACCTCTAGGGATATTACTAATCTAAAAAACTATGCTTAAGTTCTTAAATACGCTAATAAGGATTAATATCTATTAGTAATGTAGAAAGAGCTAGATTAACTATAGAAGAATAATACCTAGACGCTTGTGCTAAGGCCTACTAGCTATTTAGTTCTTAAAGGTTATTAGGTACTTAACTGAAAATACTAATAAAATAATGACTATATCTTTAAAGCTCGTTAGGTAGTAAAAGGATTTTAACAAGAATTTGGCGTTAACTATTAAGAAACGTTTACTAATACTACTAGACCTAATCTTATTAGATTACTACTAGTGATAGCTACAGCTTAAGACTGGATTATTTAAAGCTGGGACATTAAATAAGCTTTTCTAAATGCTTTTATTGATACTACGATATTTATTAAGTAACTAGAAGGATTTTTAGATCTACGATACCCTTAGCACGTCTGCCTACTTAATAAGGCACTGTATGGATTAAAATAAGCTAGTAGATAATGGTAGAAGCTACTAGTAAGCCTACTAGGCTAACTAGAATTTTAATCTCTATCTATTGATACAGCTATATATATTAATTGTGATTAGAAGATTATAATTACTACTTACGTGGATGATTTACTTATATTTAGAGAAAATGAGCAAAAAATTAAGAATCTATTCCACAATCTATCGGATATATTAGATCTAGAGATTAAAGATCTAGGTAATGTATCTAAGTTTCTTAGTATCTAAATTATTAGATTAGATCGATCGATCTACATTACCTAAGAGAGCTATCTTTAAAGGCTACTTATCCGTTTTAATAAAGAGAACGTTAAACTAAGGTAAATACCTCTTTAATATAGTATAAAGCTTAGTAAAAACGATTAGATAGCGATAGTAAAAGATACTAATCTATTTTAACAATAAATTAGCTCTCTAATCTACCTATCTACTTTTACTCGGCTAGATATTACTTACGTAGTTAATCTTCTATCTAGATTTATGGCTAATCTAAGTCTAGAGTATTTTAGTAGTCTCGATTACCTCTAGGGATATCTATCTTAATTAAAGCAGATTGGACTACTCTACCAACTTAATGCTAGCTCCTAAGCTAGATCTATTAAGTTAGATTAATCTATATTAGTTAGATTAGATTAGATTAAGCTGATTAGATCCACGGATGCAGATTAGGGCGGCGATCTTAATAGTTAAAGATCTACGACAGGATACATATTTTTACTTTAACTAAATAAGAACTATTACGTAATTTTATAGCTATTAAAGCTATAACTAATAGTGGCTTTATTAAGCGCAGAAGCCGAATTTATGGCATATCGCGAATTAACTAAACAGAGTATCTATCTAATCTAATTTATTAAAGAGATCAAACAACTATTTGATATACTATTAGATAGAACTGTGATGATATACTCTGATAGCTAGAGTGCGATCTAGCTATCTAAAAATCCCACCTACCACGCTAGAACTAAACATATTAATATTTAATACTACTTTGTGCGTGAGAAGGTAGAGGCTAAACAGATCCAGCTATAATATTAAAATACTAGCTGCTTACTAGCTGATTGTCTTACGAAGGTAATAAACGCTGAGAAGATTTAAGATTTTCTAGTATAAGTAAATCTAATAGATATCTTAGATCTTAGCTGCCTAGCTTAAAGGGGCGTGTTAGAGATATAAGCTAATCAGCTAATCTCTGATATAATCCGGGTGCTCGGCACTATACTCGGATTCTTTAGTCAACCAATCCCTATATAATTCATCTATCTATTACGTCTATAGCTACGTAATCTACTACTAGATAGATTCTTCTAGAATCTAGTATAGCAAATATATATAGTAGTAGAATAGCTAGTAGATAGAAACTAGAGCAGATTACAAGAACAGATCAGACTACTAGATCAGATCAATCCAATCCTTATCTCTCTCCCCTAGCATTTCTCTCTTTTCATCCTAGAACCTATCGATTCGCTACCTCTGAGTCTATCGCTAGACAAGTAGACTACTATACCTCTGAGCTAGCTATAGAACAAGTAGCACCCTCCTTATTTCAACACTTAGTTCTTACTAATAGGTTATAGAGGTAGATCTTAACTACGCGTAGTGAGTAGAGCGTCTACTATTTATTGTACGTTAATAATACAGTATATAGCGGAAAACCGCGTTAATTAAGGTCTAGGATCTATTATATAAGAGATTACTTCTTAGTAGGTAATAGCTTTTACTTCTAGGCGTTTGTAGCTGCTTTAGGTAGACTACCTTAGAGACGGCGTTAAAGCGTTATATAAGAGATAGTATATAACGTAGCAGTATGAGTAGGTGTAGAAATAATGTTTTTCTGAATTAAATCTATAGTAAGATTAAGTCTACCTTCACGAGTAGCCTTTACAGAGCGTTGCTGTCGCGGTATTGTAGTAGTTGTGTAGAGCGTCGGGTTAGGTTGGGTGGGGTGGCCGGTGACTGGTATCGGCCGGTGACTGGTGGGGCACGTTAACTATTATCGCTGACTAAGATCGCCTAGTCGCGTAGGATCTCTATCTCCTTATACTAAGTAGATAGGTAATACTAGCTAGTAAAGATAAGGAATAGTAGGATTAACTAGCTAGCTGCGTTAATTGCTGCGATTAGTGTCACCTACTTACGATTACCTAGCTTAACTGCCTTTAGCTAGCCCCTCCTCTCTAACGCTATTACGACTAGCTAAGTCGTAATCTTACCTATTAAAAAGCTAGCTTTATTAAAGTTATAGACGTTCTTATTATAGATACTATACTTAGCCTTTATCTACTCTATAAGCTTAAACTAGCTCTTAATTAAAACTAGATCTTCGTATAGAGCTCTCTGTCTATTATAAGCTTAATTAAACCGCGTTGTAAGCCTATCTATACGATTAATAAAGTTGCGTAGCTAGTAAACGCCGACCTAGCTAGCGCCGCGTATAGCTAATAGTCTATTAGCTATATTGCGTATAGCTGCGTAGATAGGCGAGAATCTACGTAGATTAAGATTAAGTATATAATTAATAATTACCTCCTCTTCTAGCTTAGTAAGCTTCTTTGAGTTGGGCTAGCAATCGCGTTAGGTAGGCCTACTAGCGCGTTAGCAGCGGAGCGTTATCTCAGCTATATTATAGAGTGCTGCAGTATATTTATTACTTTAGATCTGTTTACTAGCTATAGAGGAGATAGTAAGCTGTACGTCTGCTTCATTTAATACTATTTAAGTAACGTTGCGTGGGGCCATAGTATGATAAGATGAGAGAGGTGTGCAAAGTTGGTGGGGTGCGCCGCTCGCTTGTACGCGCCGCTCGCTTGTAAAACACGTTACTATTTCTTTAGAAGCTATTTGAAAGAGTTAATTTTGCGGAAGGGATTGTGTTTCAGAAGGCATACCCTTCAACTCAGCAAGATCCATGGCCCGTAGGCGCGTAAAGCCCGCTTTATAATCTCGCGGGCCTCTCCTGGTCCCACAGATAATGCAGCCGGAGCCAGAAAGGCGCCGGCAGCAAAGCTGGTGAGTTAGTAGAAAACCCACATAATTGCGTTTAAGATTGTTTACTAGTTTATTTGATATGTTTGCTGAAGGAGTTGATGATGTATTTGATATTGACTTCTTGATTCTGCATATCCGGAACATGTATTTATACCTCTTTTCACCAGTAACATACCCTCTCTCCACACACAGAACTCTTACTTGTAACGGTAGTAAGGCAGGGGTACGCACTTCTCCGGATTATATGTAATAAGTAATATAAGTGAGAGCTTGACGAAACATTAACGGAAGCCATTCGCGCTCGTATCTTGGAATTTCCTGGGGCAGCTATGATTTTGCGGCAATATTAAGATCTGGATTAGTCTGCAAATTTCTGTCTGGCATCTTTTTCCAGCGCGCTGGCGTGATCCTTGTAGGTTTAGTGGCGGGACTAATGTCAGCTTTTCAGTTCAGGAACCTCCCGATCACTTTTGAGACACTCGTTCTAACACCGAAATCCTTGAATCATGTTGTTTATATAAAATCGCTAATCAAGGCGAAGGCGAACGGAGTTTGGCCGGAGAGCCTATGTGAAACTCTTATGTGAATCTACGACAATGTCCCGGCTGACAGATCAGAAGTAGGGACTGTTTTGATTAAGCCAGGTACCCGGTGGGTTCCTGAGAATTGTACGTAACATTGCTCATGGCCACGCGGATGCTGAGCCACCGGATCAAGACGGATTCCAGATGGTTACTAGCGCTGACCCCAAGATAGAAGCCATATCTGGAGACCCTAAGTATTTGCGTTCATACCAACGTTCATGTAACTCGTTTCTCATCACACCCTTGTATTTATTACATTGAGCGTTGGCGTTGGGTACTAAAACTAGACTAGCTCTCATCATACCATCACCTTATTAAGCAACAGCTGACAAAGTAGCCTACTACATACTTTCGTGAATATAGGACTAAGAGTCAAACCTTGCTGCTCTCTGTCCCGATGCTGTTCCAGCCTCTCCCTTCGCATGCGCATCCGCTTTGTCATGCTCAACAAGCTTCAACGGCCTGTACTCCGCTTCCCACATCTGCTCTCTTATCCATTCTTCCAACTCTGCATCATCACTTGGTATATTCTTTTCTTGCGCCAAGTCATCTTCCACCGCCTTCTTTATCACATTTTTGGCAATCTGTACACTGACTTTTCGGACATGTTTAACGTCAGGGAGGAGACCGGCCCCGTCATTGTTAACCACTGGAGCTGCGGAAGCTAGAGCTTGAACAGCGGCGACAAGAAGTGCGGGGGTCATCAGGCGAGTGCGGGACAGGACTGCACCTAGTCCAATGCCTGGGAATGTTACAGAGTTGTTGCACTCGGCTAGTAGGGAGTGAGCATTCTGTCTTTGTCAAAGTGCAATATCGGTGACATACATATCTCATATTCCTTTCCGTTGTACTTAACTGGGTCAAAAGGTGAACCAGTCGCCACTAGTACTTTTCCATCTGTCCAATCATACAGATCCTGGGGTTTGGCTTCATGGAGTTTGGTTGGGTTGGACAGCGGGAAGATGACAGGGCGCTCGACGTGTTTGGCCATCTCCCGGACGACATCTTCTGTGAAGGCGCCTGGATTGGTCGATGTGCCTATGAGAACATGCGGTTTCACCTCTTTGATAACGGAGAGTAGATCCCCATGATCTTTTCCTTCCCATTCCTTGTCTGTGCGCGCGAAGGGTATTTGAGCAGGGGTAAGCTGGTCTTTCTTTCTCTGCAAAAGAAGGCCTGGTTTGTCGACACACCTGAAGAAAATCAGCTTGACTTTGATTAGTCATACTGAGTATAGACATACCAAATTTGACGGCTCGCTTCGTCGTCTGATTTTCCGGTGTTCTGCACTATGGCATCCCGAATCTGGTCTGCAATCCCAGTTCCCGCTGAGCCCGCTCCAAACATGACAAAGCGGGCTTCGTCCCACTTCGTGCCGCTGACTTTGAAAGCCGCCATGATAGCTGCAAGCGTGACACAACCAGTCCCTTGAACATCGTCATTGAAGCATGCGATCTCAGGAGTATACTTGTCGAGGATTCTTCGTGCATTGTCCAAGCCAAAGTCTTCAAAGTGTATGTAGGCCTTGGGGTACTGCTTTCGCGCGGCTTTTATAAACGTGTCGACGAATTGGTCGTACTTCTCGCCAGATACTCGTGGTTTTCTCAAGCCAAGATATAGCTCGTCATTCAAGAGATCCTCGTTCTGTACTTGAATCAGCCCTACATCTGGTAAAAGAATTCACATATACCCACATCTGTACCACAATCAAGGACCACCGGCAGTGTTCGTGAAGGATGTATGCCTGCGCATAGTGTGTAGATGACAAGTTTTGCTACACTGATCAGGATGGCTCCTACACCTTGGTCTCCAATACCCAGTATCTGCTGCCCATCGCTTACGACTATCACGTCAATATCCTCGGGGCCGCCCCATTGCTTGATGTCGTCCTCAACGCGACCCATGTCTTCGATATTGAGAAAGCAACCTTCGGGTCTTCGGAAGATTTTGGAGTAATCAGCTATTGCCTCACCCTCAGTAGGAGTATAGATGACGGAGAACATCTCCTTCAGGTGATCAAGAATCAGCTGCTAGTCGTTAGTTGTGATATTTGACGATCTACAGGGTATCTCATACTCTGTAGTAGAGGACCTCGTTTTGCTCCTTCATACTCGTCATGAAGGTGTTCTTGGCGAGGTCGTTCGAACGAGAGCTGTATTGGGCATATGCGCGCTTGACCTGCTCATCGAGGGTTTGAATATTGGAAGGAAGAAGGCCATGAAGCTTGAATGTATCGCGTTCTTCTTTGGTGAATGCTGAGCCTTTGTTGAAATAGGGAGTTCGAAGGAGCGCGTTGCCCTACTTTGTATGTCAGTATCGGGACTTTGTAATGAGATCTGACAATTAATACGCACTGTCAAGCTAGTCTCTTGTGGCCCGGAGGTCGATAGAGGTAGATGACCGAACTTTTCGTTCTTTTGTTGTTTCCCATTGGGCGACATGTTTGAGAGTTCCCGAGAAGAAACAGAAAGCGATCTTAAAGTATGGAGTCGAGGTTGGATGGTTACTGGGGCGGCTTGGACAGGTAACTAAGTCTTCAGTTGTTGGAGCATTAAATTAAAGAGGTTCGTGAGGATATCATAGGCTATATAGCGAATTATTGCAGATGGTGCTGTATGTTCCGGTCTTATCCGGTGTCTTATATACCTCGTCGTACGATAGGTCACTGATTTGTGTTGTTTCCCTGTTAAAATTTCATAAACGCTGGATTCGAAGAAGTCGCATACCCTGGTTTGTGCTTTCGGGTAGTTGCGGGTATGTGATTCTGCTCGTCGACCTGGCAGAGCGTTTCTCAATCCATACGACGCTCTCCCATAAATGAAGGCGTTTTCTACGCTATTCACAGTACCTACTGGTGTTTTTCTACGCCTTGTCGCTTACAGAAATCAATGTCATGGGCGGCGTAATTATGACGTCACTGCTACCCTCTATGCATTCACTGAGCGTCGCAGGTGTGTTGGGCAATAGAGGCATTTGCTGTCAAAACAGTCTCAGCAACTCAATTCACCCATGTCTCGTGATTAGAAACATACGTAGGAATGCAATCAACAAAGTTGAGATCACGGTGTGCTCGCGGGTGACGGAAAGGAACAAGCTACCCCGCTCACCAAAGACAGCCCTCTCTCTGCAAAGATTTTCAATCTTCAACATCACTCTTGAAGCCGTCTCGGTGGGTTTCAATCGATTCAAAAATTTGTCTCAATCATGATACACTGGTGTGTATTTTCGAATCAAATGGGCTGATACGCGAAGTCACAGACAATAGGCACAGTGCTCCAATCCGAAGGTAGCTATCAAAGCCTTGTTTGGCTGAAGTTTGACCCTGTTTACCTTCATTCTGTATATTTGGTTGCTTCCTGACTCCCATTCGATCAAGAAAATGGATTTTTGTTTGCGGCCAGTCATCAATATCATTGTCCTTACGAACGTTCGCCTGTCATGACATTACAATATCTTGTACATTGTTGGCTCTTCACTAACTCTCCATGGAATTTCTTAAAAATAACCAAGATCGCCTTAACTCTTACAAGCTTTTTCAATGTTCATCTTGAAAATCACCTTCAAGAGTCGCTCGAGTATAACGCTCGTTGTCGAAAAATGCCAACCAGCTTCATGAAGTCGGTATGAGCTGTGTTAACTGCCTGCCGAACTAGGAGATATGGCTTTGAAAAGGTAAAGACGTAAACGGTATCCTGGTCACCTGAATCATATGCTTATCCATATCCAAACGACCAAAAGATAGTACCCGTGATCATCGTTGCGAGACATATCGTTTCTAGAACTTCTATCGACCAAGGGCGGTACACGCCATGAACCAATGTCTCAGCCACCTCTATTGAAACCCTAATCTTGAGCATCTGCCTGATCCTGCCCACTAATCAGTATTTCTCGTATGCTTTGGCCCCTCGTAATCTCGGGCTTGGCGCTGACATTGCGGCCCCAAGGCAAACCCGAACTTCAGACCCCAAACTCACCACACTGACCAATGAACATCAGTACCAACTGGTCTTGGAGTTTGTGTTTTACGATAAGCCCCGAGCCATTTACTTACAGCACTACAAGTTGTTCTAGGCTGCAAAAATCCACAAGATTGTTGCACAGCTGAGCAAATGCAACTTGCCTTGCTAGAACTACATTAGGCAACTAAAATAAGCCTACATCGTTGTAATAGGAACGAAGCGTGACATCATTCTTGACTCGATTGTTTGTGCTGGCATCCTAGAGGAATGTGGCACAGTCATGATAGCCCAGCACAGCCTACCGTAGGTGGCCAACTACGCATCGGCTGGGAAACCGAACAGATACCTAGACTCAATCTCCTGGTCTTGTATTAGAGGCTTGGTTCAAATTAAAGGGCTATATGTTTTGTTTTTCTATTTTAAATCATAGTAGGAATGTCTTCCTAAACACCCGATTTCCTCGATCCCAAGTCATGGTCTGTGAGATCCGGAATGGCCAAGCGGATGCAAACGGGCGATGGATTACGGCGTGCAGTGAAGGAATCTCCAGGATAATTTATCCAACCAGTGTGAGAAACTAGTTGATGGCACACTAAGTGCTACATTTACAAGGTGCTGACCATAGGATCGCACTATGTTCAAATCAATACTTGGCAGGAAGATGTAGATGCGTGCCGCGGATGTAATCATCGTAGCCTGATCTGAAGCTCTTGTTCTATATAATTGTGAGCTCGTTCCAGCTTTGGATTGTTCATTAGATCACTGTTTGGACTTCAATCAGCACTTCTGGCTTACGGATATCCATAACACGCCGCAAATACTCTCTCAGATACATTCTTATATCAGTATTCGATCATAATATCTCTTCTTAAGACACCAGGCAAGATGAAGTTCATCCTCCTTCTCAGCACGGCAATCTACACTGCCACAGTGCTAGCTGCCCCGGGTGCCGTATGTCCTTCCTTACTGTTCACCCGCAACATTCCGCTCTTCCCAGCATCACAACTAAACACATCTTTCAGATCTCGCTCAACCGCTCTTTCAAGACCCTTGCTAGCCGTGCTGACGGTGGCGATTCCATGCACATTGCTTGCATTGAGTGTCCCTGCGATGTGAGTATTTTCTATTACCCCTCGCCTTTATTAAGGAACTATATTCGTAATATAAATGAGTTGGTGGTGTGGCAATGGCTAAATTCTGCGGTAGGGATTCACTGGAGCTTGTCGGTGCGTCAATAATGGATGCTGCTGTGATATGACGAACCCTGGCCAGCCACCTGCTGGAGGCTGGAGAAAGACGGTTTAAAGTTTGTTTTTGGGTGCGAATTCAATGTGAAAGCATGATATGAGGAATTATATGGGAATTTCAATTACTAGTCTCGCGTTAAGAACACTTATCTGTTAATATCTCCATTGTGCGACGAGCGCTCGTGAGGCGTGAAGACCTCTGTCCGGATTCCAGAGGGTATCCAGATTACAGAAAACGATTCGACATGGATGAGTGAGACTATGGCTTGCAGGATGGGACCATGGTTCTGTAGGCAGCCGTTGGGCGAGGTCACGGTTGGATAGGGAGCATGTTAGAGTAACCACGCCAAACCACTTGTTTGGTACGTAAACAATCACGTGGGCTTGCGAGTCTAACAATTCGAAAGAATACAAGGTTGTGGCGATAAAGAAGTTCCTCGGAGTGGTTCAATAGTTCCTGCGGATGTGGTCTATCCGAACTGACACTAGTTTGGTTTCGGATGAGTACACTAACAACTTGAGTAGCATCTTACGCATTATACACTCACTCACTTACTTCGCTATATTCTCTGATTTACCCCTCGGGTTGATCGCGATGAAGGGTTCGCTAGCGCTATGCATGCCGATTGGCCTAGAATGGCCTTCGTCATCTTCTTTGATAAGTTTGGTAGTTAATCCAACCATCTAGGGTAGGTTATGATCTGCTCATGGTAGAACACCAAACAGGAAATAGCGCGTAGAACTAGCACCGCATTCATCGCGCCATACACGTAAATGGATAGCGGCCAGGTTCCACTCCCGATCATTACCGGCCCACCCGCCGACTCAGGGGAACCACGATGGAAATAACTTCGCACTTGTTCTGCAGCACACGACTCATGTAATTGAATTGAATTAAAAGCGAGGGTGGCCCCATGTGTAATCCAGGCGGCAGGGACCTTGTGTTGCTTTGTCGTTGGCTGATCAATTCTTACTGAAGATCATATAGTTTTCGATATGCGTTCTTTCGTATCGTTGTTAGCTCTCCTAAGCATCATCTCCCAGTCCGTCGCTGTACCCGCTGCGATAGCGCAGCCATCAATTAAAGACGCCACAAAAATCATTGAGGAACGTCAAATTCTCACAAACCTTTTACCTGGTCTCCTACCCGGCGTGGTTTCGATCGTGAAGGGTCTTCTCGCCGATGTTAACGTCGCCGTAGCCGAGGGCAAGCCTCAGGAAGTTCTCAACATTCTCCAGAAGCTTCAACCCACAGCACGACCGACGAAGATCCAAGATGCTGTCGCGGCACACGCTAAGATATGGGCGACTCCAACCACAAGAACAGACTTTTTTGCCGCTGTTGCGACACAAATAGCTGACGGTCTAGTCCTTGACCAGACACTTCAAGCGGCCTTGAACGGCGGTTTGCCAGTAGGAGAAAACACCATCAAGAACAACAACCCAGATTCAGCATCTTCTATCTACCCTAAGAAGGATGCCACCGATGCGCCATATACTCTTTCTGAATCTGCTCTGCGGCAAGCAATATTCATTCCACCCAGCTTCACATACGGCGCCAAACGTCCCGTTATTTTTGTTCCAGGAACCGCTTCTTACGGCGGCACTAACTTTGCATCCAACCTGCGGAAATTGCTCACAGGCAAGGATTTCGCTGATCCAGTATGGCTCAACATACCCGGCGCCATGCTTAGCGATACGCAAACGAACGCAGAGTACATTGCCTACGCCATCAACTATATCAGTGCTATCTCGCGTCAAAATCAACAGAACATTGCCGTCATCACTTGGTCCCAAGGTGGTCTTGATACCCAATGGGTACTCAAGCACTGGCCCTCTACACGACAGGTCGTCAAAGACTTCCTACCCGTATCCGCAGACTTCAAAGGTACAGTCTTTGCAAACGCCCTCTGCCTAACACCAAACAGCGATGTGTCGCTCCTACCATGCAGCGCCGCTGTTGTCCAACAACAAGCTACAAGTGACTACATCCGAAGCCTGAGGACCAACGGTGGCGATAGCGCATACGTACCTACAACATCTTTTTACTCGGGCTTCTTCGACGAGGTCGTCGAGCCGCAACAAGGCACTCTGGCTTCTGCATACATGAACGACGCACGCAACGTCGGTGTTACGAACATTGAGGTTCAGCGCGTGTGTACAGGCCAGCCGGCCGGTTCTTTCTACGGCCATGCTAGTCTTCTCTCTAACCCGCTTACCTACGCACTTATTGTTGATGCGCTGCAGCAAGATGGACCGGGAGACCTATCGCGCATTGATTTGAAGCGTGTATGCAGTACCTTTGCTACACCGGGACTTGATCTCGATGATGTGTTGGCGACGATTGGCTTGATACCAGTGGCAGGTGCGTTGTTGCTGTTGGATCTTAGTACGAAGACGTTTGTTGAGCCTCCGTTGAGGGCTTATGCGATGTAATGATGTTGCAAAGAGCAAGCATTGACACGCTTGGGGAGTATTTGTTTATCTGATAATGTGTTTTATGATAATAGTAGTTGTTTTCCGTTCTTGTCTTCTTGTATTCTCTTTAACGTTGTTACGTTGATAGTGTAAATATCAGTTGATACTACCAGTGGAGTAAGATGTATTGTCTATTTCTTCTATTCAATATGATCCATTTTTCTCTTGAGAAGCAGTTTGAGCTGTAAGTAGGAGTACGAAATGTTGATTTCTGCTACGACAGCATTCGAAATTGCTCACATCAGCGGCCACATGCTCCACGCTACTTTGAGAAATCCGATTGGCCCATAGTGCACACTCACTTGACATCATGAGGCTCACAGGTCTTCGCGAAGAAGTCACTCTAAAACACCATCTACCTCATCAATGATTTGAACTTTGATACTTCCGTTGCTTAGGTCGGCACATGTATGTAGGGCATCGAGCGCCTTTTCTAGCGGAAATGTGTGACTGACAAGTGACTTGAGGTCCAGTATGCCTCCAGCTAAGCACTGAAGACCAGCTGGCCAGGTATCACGGTAACGGTTGATAAATCTCAGATCAATCTGCGTGTTGTGTCAATGAGACGGATTTTGTAAGAGGGACAGGGTGCGAGCATTTACCTCAGCTAAACTCAAATGCATGAACGGTAGATTATTCATGATTTCCTTCCCAACACCAATGACCATGACGGTACCACCCCTTCTTGCCGTATAGATTGCAGTGACAACACTGTTTTCCACGCCAGTGCATTCCAGTACAGTCTCTGGTGCCCCGTACTCGCCTACATTCTCAAAGTCGAACAGCTCCCTGATCTTCTTTGCGTTACCCAACGCATCAAGATTTCGGTCAACTTGATAGGTATATGCCGAAGGCACAAAAATTTTCGCGAAAGCCAATCGTTTTGGCTCGAGATCCGTAATGACAAGTGGGTGCGCACCACTTGCTCTGGCTGCTGCCAGCGCGATGAGGCCAATGGGCCCGGCACCGCATATCACAGCGCCACGGCCTAGGGAAAGACCCGCAGATTTGATACCGTGCATGACTACGGAGAGTGGCTCGAGGAGCGCACCTTCAGCATACGATATGTTGGAAGGCAGCTTATGGCACCACCGTGCAGGGTGACACTTGAATCTCTGCACAGTGCCATCGTAGGGATAAACACCGGCGAATTGGACGTCCTCGCATAGATTATAGCGTCCATCCATGCACAAGAAGCATGTTCTACACGGGACGCCGGGTTCGACTGCTACACGGTCGCCTGTAGGTCGAGTTAGATAAGAAGACTGTATTGTAAAAGTAACAGGTCAAGTACCGGGTTGCAAGGTTGTAACGCCTTCACCACACTTCAAAACAACTCCTGAAGCCTCATGACCGAGGATACAGTCTCCTTCGACGATGAGAGAGCCTATCCTTCCTGCTTTCCAAAAATGTATATCGGACCTACCCAATTCAATATCAAATTTAGTTTGTTCTTGGGTTACTAAGGTACGTACCCGCAAACGCCAGTGGCTTTAATATGCAACAAAACTTCTTCTTTTGCTGGCGCGTACACAGGCGCCTCCTGAAGTTTCAATTTGTGGTCTGCAGTGACTTGCAGGGAAGGATTTGGCAGCAATGTCTTGATTGTCGCACGCGTCGCGCTTGTTTGTTTGAACGCGGTGGAAGTAGTTTCTGAGTTCATTATTGGATTGGTAATGATGGAAATGCAAAACTGCCTTGAAATGTAGAGAGCAAGAGTAAATGCGGTCAACGTTGAGGTAATGGCTGACGGTATCCAGGACTCACGTGTTTAGCGGGTCATATTGCTGTCGCTGCGGGGATAGCAACTTCACACTCACAGCTCTCCGCATGATACAACAGGTGGCGCTGGATTGCGGGGAAACTTAGTGGACAAGGTTGGTAGAGATCGCAGGTGGCTATGACTACTGTATTGGTGTAGGGTGCCTTCCGATCGCCAATGGGAATCCAGAGCCTCCGCCCTCTTCCGCACAGCGAATACGCCGGGTTGCCTAATTAGGAACACCCGGTGCTCTCGACTTTCGATGCACATACGTCGTAGAAGATCCGTTGTCAGTCGCACACTGGACAAGTATTTAGATACCTTCTTCCTTAAGATTCTTCTTTGCTACTCTCATTCACTTTCTTTACCTGTATTCTTCATCAAAAGCTCGAATCCTTTTACAATCTAATATCATGTACGCGTCGCAGGACGCACCCCAAGTGAATGGCTCCACAGCCTATGGAAAGAATGCTGTGGAAAGCTTAAAAGAAGAAGAAAAGCTAGAAAATTCATCGGTGCAGAAGCTCTCAAAAGAGCATGACCATGTCCTAAAGACATTCAGATTGCTCATTGCAGACTTGTGTCAGCAATTTAATGGTGGTCATCCTGGGTAAGAGTTCAATCATTCATCATCCACAACCATAGCTAAGAGGTCTTCAGCGGAGCCATTGGAATGGCTGCAATTGGTGTTGCTTTGTGGAAATATGTCATGCGATATGCACCTCACACCCCAGATTACTTCAACCGCGATCGATTCGTCTTATCAAATGGTATTCATCACACAATCATTCTTGCAGTATAGACCACAACTGACCAAGAAAAGGCCATACATGTCTCTTTCAGTACACATTCCTCCATCTCACAGGATACAAAGCCATGAATTTTGATCAGCTTAAGTCATATCATTCGGAAAGAGTTGATGCACTATGTCCCGGCCATCCAGAAATCGAACACGAAGGCATCGAAGTGACAACCGGCCCGTTGGGCCAAGGTGTAGCAAATGCAGTCGGTTTGGCTATGGCAACAAAGAACCTCCAAGACATATACAATAAGCCCGAATTTGATGTCGTATCGAATCACACGTGGTGTATGATTGGAGATGCGTGTCTTCAAGAAGGAGTGGCCTTGGAAGCCATTTCCTTTGCTGGGCATTTGAAGCTGAACAACCTCACCGTTATATACGACAATAACCAAGTTACCTGCGATGGCTCAGTTGATCTAACCAATACTGAGGACGTCAACACCAAAATGAGGGCATGTGGTTGGGACGTAATTGATGTTGAAGATGGCTGTTTCGACGTCGAAGGTCTTGTCGAGGCCCTGAACAAGGCACGATCTTCGACCGACAAGCCCACTTTCATCAACGTGCGAACAGTCATCGGTGTTGGCAGTGCGGTCGCTGGTGATGCCGTTGCTCATGGAGTAGCTTTCGGTGCATTTGACGTGGCGAACATGAAAAAGACATACGGCTTCAATCCTGATGAACACTTTGTCATCAGTGACGAAGTACGCAAGTTCTTCGAGGATATCCCAGCCAGAGGCCAAGAGCTGGTGCGATCATGGGAAGAGAAGGTTAAGGAGTATGAGGCTAAGTATCCGGAAGAAGGTGCAGACTTCAGGCGTCGAGTAGAAGGCCGTCTTGTCGAAGATTGGAAGTCCTTGGTACCTGAGAAATTCCCAGATGCGCCGACAGCGACGAGAAAGTCATCTGGACTTGTTTTCAACATGCTCGCAGAGAAGATCAACAACTTTATGGTCGGCACCGCTGACTTGACACCTTCAGTCAATATGATTTGGAAGGGAAAGGTTGACTTCCAGCATGTAAGTCTTTCAGCCATATTGGCTTGAGAATACTACTAATCCTTTGCAGCCCGACTTGAAAACCACATGCGGTATCAATGGCAACTATAGCGGCCGGTATATTCACTATGGCGTTCGTGAGCATGCAATGGCTGCAATCTCAAACGGCATTGCAGCATTTGCGCCAAACACTTTCGTCCCAGTCACCTCTTCATTTTTCATGTTTTACCTTTACGCCGCACCGGCAGTCCGCATGGGCGCTTTGCAGCAACTCCAAGTCATACACGCAGCAACGCACGACAGGTGTGAATCTCTCCACTTTCTTGTGTCCCTCGACTAACCAAGCCCAGTATCGGGATGGGTGAAGATGGCCCAACACATCAACCTATTGAACTCGCAAATCTGTACCGAGCCATGCCTAATCTGTTGTACATTCGACCTGGCGACAGTGAAGAGACGGCTGGAGCATGGATCACAGCCATCAAGGCGAAGAAGACGCCGAGTATCATATCGACATCGAGACATGCACTGCCACAGCTGGCCCAAACAAAGAGGGACATGGTCGGAAAGGGTGCATACGTACTCGAAGAGGTTGAAAATGCTGACGTGACACTGATCGGTATCGGTGCTGAACTACATCACGCACTCGATGTTGCCAAAGAGCTGAGCGCAAAGAATATCAAGGCCCGCGTGGTCAGCTTCCCATGCCAGCGGCTTTTTGAGAACCAGCCGGTTCAATACAAGCGGGAAACACTCAAGAGACACCTTGGTATCCCCGCGGTAGTCATCGAGCCATTTGCGCCCAACGGCTGGGAGCGATACGCTGATGCTGCATGTTGCATGAAGAGATTCGGTCATAGTCTACCCGGGAAGGCGGCTTACAAGTATTTTGGTTTCGATGTTCCTGCGTTGACAAAAAAGGTGGAGAGCTACCTCAAGCAAGTTCGCGACGATCCGCTACTCAAGGGAGAATTTGTCGATTTGTAAACATTGGGAATGAACACCTCGGAAATGAATATTTAAGCGTAATTCGAAATCATTGTACGAGATTTAAGCAAGATGCTGTTTTCCACATTGGCGGCGTCAGCCCGCTGGGTTTGGTTGCAATCAGATGCACAATAACTGACGAAAGGATTGTACACCATACTGCTCAGATGGAGTTTGTTCCGAAATCTCGCCAGTTTATCAAAGCTCCCACTAGAAATTAAATAAGAATTGCAAGTTTTACGTGTGTGCAAAAGCAATGCCCCGCTATCAAGTCATCGGAAGGCCCCGCCTCAAGCCTTAAGTAGCGGTAGACTCCGGCCGACAGATCAAGTATCACAATTTATATGTTCTTGATCGATAAAAGCAAGTTAGCGTATCGCAATCAAAATCCATCATCCTCGATCTTTCAATTCGAAATTCAGCCATCATCTTCTCGAATTCGACTCGCTATGTCAGCCAATATCGAGACAACAAACCCAGCACCAGGGATGCTAGTTTCCAGACTCCTATCCATAATCCAAGAAAGCATTATTCCCCTCACACGACAAGGAGTCTCGAGCGGTTCCAAGCTCTTCGGTGCAGCTATCCTATCTCGCAAGGACCTCACACCCTACACCCTTGCCACAAACAATGAGCGCGTCTCCCCGCTCCTCCATGGTGAAATCAACTGCATCCAACAATTCTGCATGATCGACTTTCCAGACCCAGCAACGCGCCCTCATCCAGCAAAGGACTGCATTTTCCTCGCCACGCACGAGCCCTGCTCGTTATGCTTGAGCGGTATCACCTGGGCCGGTTTCAACGAGTTCTACTATCTTTTCACGTACGAAGATAGTCGAGACCTGTTTGGGATTCCGTACGACATCGACATTCTACAGAAAGTGTTTAGGGTTAAGGGAGAGGGGGAGAGCGAAGAACAGGTTCAGAAGAGGCAATTGTACAACCGGAAGAACAAGTTCTTTACTGCGAAGAGCTTTGCGGACGTGGTAGGTGAGGTTAGTGATGAGAGCGAGAGGGAGAGATTACTCAAAGAGATTACGAGGGTAAAGGGTTTGTATAACAGTTTGAGTGAGACGTATCAAGAAGGAAAGAAGGCGGGGGCTGAAAGCTCGAGTGTTTGGAAGTAAGGAAACAGGCAATCAGTGTTACGATGCAAATAAATTATTATGCAGAGGGTATGTGTTGCTAATGGAGAATTGATCACTATTATTTCCCCTTCTGCAGGGTGTCGCCCTCCGGCCCCACATTTATCGATAAAATTCGTCTAGGTCTCAGCCCCTCCAAATTCACCCCATCTTGAGTTGCAAGTAATAGCAAAATTTGATTGCGTCAGAGGTTTCGGTTTCAGATACGACTGGCAAGATCGCTAAACAGGACTTGCCCACCGTATTTTCTGTCAGCTCAAGTGCGACATTGCGTTTCGGAAACATTCGCTTGTTTTCCTTCTTTCATCTCAAGCAACGTCATAGGACGTCCGGTTGCATTTTGAAAATAAAGCAGATTACAACAACGGCGCATTAGCGACAGGTCGAATAGCCTAGACTCAACGAACTACTTTCAAAATGGCGAGCAATCCCCAAGATGATAACACTATTTATCTTACGGAAAAAGAGGCGGAGCGCATCAAGAGCACTGTCAAGGATCGACTAAAGAAGTGCACTGAGCAACATGGCAACGCAAAGGAACCGAGAGACAAAACCGCTGCACACCAAGCAGCCACTGGTGCTGCTCTTATGGCAGATATGGGCGGCGCACCGGATCCAGATATGATGGAAACTCAAGGGAAAACAGCAAATACTATACCAGCCATCGGTGTAGGACAACCTTATCCCCCATGTACGAAACCATTATCCGAACTAGAGCCGATGGAGATGGCTGATCTGAAGATGGAAACACACCACCGAGGCCGTAAGCTCGTCGTCAAGCGACACAGTCCAGTAGTCACGCTGGTAGCCAGATCATGGACTATGGTGCAGAATGAAGCAGGCACTGACGCGGAGCGGTTAGAGATTTTACTCCACAAATCAAGATATGGAGAAGACATCCTGGAATCGACCAAACAGTTCATTATCAAAGAGCCATATTTTACCCTTACGGACCAGGGCGAGCCAACGCTTCGGATCGACCACCCCTCTGATCTAGTTGTTTGCCATGAAGACGTTGTAAATCCCAGGAAGTTTGAGGATGCAGAAAAGGCCGAAAAGGCAGCTACCAGATTCAAGACGCAGGGCAATACTGCGCTCAAGGAACAGGACCTTCCCCTAGCCCATGAGAAATACTCGGCCGGCCTAGCAATTGCCAACCAGGACATTGTAACAAAATCCAACACAGATCTAGCACGAGATATCTACCGCAACCGTGCCTATGTAAACTTGCTTCTGGGTCAATTGGACGAAGTCAAGACGGATGCGCGCGCATCACTGACCGGCAAAGACGACCAAAAGTCCAAAGAGCTCGACAGCAAAGCCTACTTCCGCGCCGGATCAGCCGCATACAGCCAAAGCCGATGGCAGGAAGCAAAGGAATTCTTCCAAGAGCAACAAAAGCTCACACCCAACGACAAAGATGCGAAGCTCCAACTGAAAAAGATCGAAGCCCGTCTCCGCGAAGAAGAAACAGGATCCTATGACCTGATGAAACTGCGAACCACCATCTCTAAAGCCCGATCCCGCGTCGACGCCGCAAACTTTACCAAAAACACTGTCGTAAAAGATAGCCCAGGCAAAGGCCGCGGCCTCTACGCCGCCCACAACCTCGCCCCTGGCTCCCTCGTCCTCTGTGAAAAAGCCTTCAGCGTTGTCTGGGCCCATGAACCCGACGCCCTAGTCGCAATGACCTACGACGTCCGCGACGACCTGATCCGCGTCTCCCCCGTCGGTCTCTCCAAGTCTCTTGTGCAAAAATGCTTAAATCAGCCTTCTCAAACATCGCACTTGATGCAGCTCTACGGCGACTACCAAGGCGAAGCCTCCACCGCTAATGTCTTCGAAACTGCGGATGGCCCAGTTGTAGACGTCTTCCGCGTCCACGACATCATGTCCCGTAACGCCTTCAGCCCCGGTGCACAATTCGGCGAGGAAAGCGCTCGCAGTGCTAGCACCGGGTTGTGGAAACACGCCGCGTACATTAATCACTCGTGTCTCGCCAATACCGAGAAGGAATTCATCGGCGACTTCCTCGTTATCCGCGCCATTGCACCGATAAAAGCCGGTGAGGAAATCTTTTTTCCGTACCACGACTCGCTGGATTACGAGGCTAGACAGGCGTTTTTGGAGAAGACGTGGGGTTTCAGGTGCACTTGTCGGTTGTGCGAGGTGGAGGAGCAGGATGGCAAGGAGGTTAGGGATAAGAGGATGGAAATGGTGGGGGAGGCGGATGCGTTTGTGGATAAGACGCCGTGGGCTGGGGCGAAGAGGGTGGTGTTAAGGAAGGCGCAGAATCTGGTGAAGGGGATTGAGGGGACGTATGATCAGGGGAGGTGGGAGGGTTTGCCAAAGAGGCATGCAGAGGGGTTGAAGGCGTGGTTAGCGAAGGCGAGTCCGAGGTGAGGGAGGTAGATATGATGGATTATTTGGAGGATAGAAAAGTGAGTTCCTTGAGTAGGACGCAAGGTATGAGGAACAAGCGAATGGAAGAAGAACATTCGTATGCGAATATAGGGTTCATTGAAGAGTTCGTAAGCTACATATCTACACATAAAAGGCATGACTACTATACTGTACTTGCAAAGACAAATGTGGTGGCGAACATCGAGGCACAATCAAAGGCCCATCTTCTGCAACACATTCGCCAAATCAGTTTCAACAATCTTATCCCAGCCCCTCTCAGGGCCCCAAGCAATATGCTTCTGATTCAGCCTTGTCTCTTCAATCAAGCCTGCTAACAACGGACTTGACTTGGACACACTAGGATACGCATCAAACTCGACATCATTGATCGACGGCACCTGCGAGAGCAAGCCTCTCAGCAAGCCCACACAGTATTCCGTGTAGAAATTATTACCAACGCGGAATCCCTCGAATACCGCGTCGGATGCAGGATCGATTTCTACAAAGATCTTGAGGAGGTATACCTTTTTCACAGCTGCGAGGCCCAGCCGGCTATCTACGACCCAGCATTTCGGTGGTTTCGTGAAGCCGGGACCTAGACGCAGCTCAAGGCGAGTAAGGAGGACGCGGTATTTGCGGGGGAACCATGCAAGCAGCGGGTGCTTGCGGTTGATGTAACGGCCGTGGATGGGGAAGACGCGGAAGGTGTTGCGGCCGTAGAAGACGCGGGCTGCTTCGTCGTGCATGCGCTGGCTTGTGAGGAAGAGGCGGAGGGCGGGGGCGACGGTGCAGTAGTTGGACGGGTCGAGGTCGATGGTCTTGGGGAAGATGAGGAGTTCCTCGTACACGCGCAATCGCAGCTCGTAGGGGAGATCAAAGAAGCGGAAGGGCTGGCGCTCGACCTCTTCCTCGTCCTTATTGCCCGTGTCTTTGCTGCGCTCCGGCTGTTTGGGTGGCGCAGCCAAAGCGGCCTGCTCATCGACGAGACGCAACTTGCTCATGCGATTGACCATGTGGTCAATCGCCTTCTTCTTCCGAGCCATGTTGTTATGCCGCGCTCTCAAAAGCGACCTTTACTATCGCTTTGAGAGCGTTTATGCATCCATCGCGTCGTGCCGTCTGTATTGGATTGTACGAGTCGGTATTGTTCCGAGGCAAAGGAGAGCGAGGATTCAAGACGAAAATTTTAATTATACGTAGGATGTCTCGGAGCTACGGGACCGTCAGCCCATGCGGTAAGGGCAGGCAGTTCTTGGGAGCAAAGAGATTGTTCTCCCCAGCTTATGTCAACTTCAATCTTATGGAGGAGCAAAGAGTGAGGTCAAATTTCGTGGGTGCAACTTTCTATATGGAAAAAGAAGACGAGATGGCGGCGATGCCGCGGGTTTTGTTCAGAGGCCCCACTAGCTCATTAGTCAGCCCCACATGGACATCCCTGTCTTTCGCCGACTTGCCGACTCGCCTCTCCTACCACTGTCGGTTTGCCTTGTGTCTTCATCATTTCTCCAAATAATACATGTTGTAATGAGGGAATGCTACAACAAGATTGAATTGATGAAAATCAAACATCATTCATTACCATGTATTTCTCTAAACTAAAACCAACCCAACTCCATCGCTCTCCTCCACTAATCCATGTCCAGGTACAAACGTGACTCTGACACATGCAGTGATCAAAGACCACATACAGCGTCATACCAAATACATGCTTCTTTCTTTTCAATCTGTTCACCCAGAAGTTATTCCATCATTACTATCCTGTTCAGCCCTTCTCTATTGACATCAAGTTCATAAGAATCGTAGAACAAGCTAGTGACCAGGATCACACGCGTTGCATGGCCGACCACCAATCAATTCAGTCGCAGATACTATATCGACCATGCCGCACGCCTCAGTTCCAATCGAATGCTCAGTGTAGTCGCTCATGCCTCCGTTGTGGTTGTGAATCTGATCCGGGCGGCCTTGAGGAGGGACTGGGTTGGGAAACGGCGCGGTAGCTCCTATAGGAATGCCAGCGGCGTTCCCTCGACCGCCATACAAACCGTTTCCGAGACGACGGTGGTTCCGATAGTCGTATCGGGACATTTTGTGATACACGTGACCCTGCATGCTGCGTGGGCCCGTGGGGAAACCGGCGTTTTGTATCTTGGTGAAGTCAATGTTGTAGTGGCGGGGAGTGTTGTTGCTCCTGGTACCGGTGTACTCGACGATCTTGTCGAATTGGTTCGCGAAAGGCTGGTTTGTCACAGCACCACAGGATCCGTGCATTGGCCCGTCATCGTGGGAGTTTGGCTGAATCAATTCTTGACTGTAGATTGGGCAGGGGTCGTGAACAGATACAGTCGAACGCAACGCAAGCTCTGTAGAAGGCACTTCCTGCTTTGCTGATGTAGAAATTGGATCAGCGATTCTCATCGTAATAGCGGGACTTTCATGAGAGTGGGAATGCAAAGCATCACCAGATGACAATGCTGGACTGCGTATTTTCTTAGGCTTGAACTTCCGAGGAGACTTGGGTCGGCCGTTCCTGAAGCCCTGTTCGTAGGCAAACTGGATACCGTACATGTACCAGAGAAACGGTATACCATTTCTATCGAGCACCGTCATGTCTGGTAGGCCAGCAACATCTTGAAGGGAAGCTACTGCTGCACGCTCGGTCGCACGCTCAGTCGCAAGCTCAGTCGCAAGCTCCGTCGAGCCAGATGTAAGCATCATTTTGGGTACAAACTCAGTGGCAGTCGGGCGGAGATCTGAGCATACACTAGTTTGTGTTTGATGTTCGTTGTCGACTTGATTCCCCGGGCCAGATGTACCACCCTCACCGGTTCCATGTATCGGCTCAGCATTCCCACCAACATATGCATGCCCAGGGGCTGTAGAAGCTGCGCTGTTGGAAGAAGTATCGATGCAATTATTGCCTATACAGAAATGAGCCATGAGAATAAGAAAGAATCGACTCGCGCTGCGGCTAGGAGGTTCTTACCAAAATCATCCGTTTTTCCAAAGCTGTAAACTACCGCAGGATCCACAAGAGTTAGGTGTGCGGCATTTCGAGATTCTTGTTCACAAACGCTGATTGTGGCCCTGCGAAAAGCCTTCAGAAATGGTGGAGTGTTTGGGACGTGGCCTGAATACCCAAGGAGTCCAACTGGGTTGGATCCAGGTTGATGGCTCTCAGCTTGACACAAACCAATTTCAACATGGTCCGCTGGCTTAGCTGAAATATGAAAATGAGCATGCGCTAGCTGGTGGTCTTGAGTTACAATCTCGTGTGGACTTCCCTCTTCTTTCGTTTCGAGGTCAAGATTTTGATGCTGAGAGTCTATAGGATTTGGATGAGTGTTTTCGCCCAAATGGCCACGTGAGATATCAGGCATGGGCGTGTTCGACCGAGTTTTCTCGTTTGATACCACAGGAATATCTACGAGGATATTTGCTTTTGATCGCATGGTCTCTACCACAGACTTTGCTCGCTGCAGGGCGGAAATACGGGATGAGTTCTGGTCCTTGTTTGTTGTGCCGACGCGAGGAATGCGAGATATGCTTGCGGTAGAAACTAGACTCATCGAACCATTACTGTCAGAAGCATTTGTAGCCTTTGGGCCCAATGCTCTAAAATCTTTGTCGTAGCCTGTACTTGCATTTGGCACAACGATACGAAGAGAACCCTTGGCCTTGGAGATTGGTTGGTTCTCACCCTTGAATTTCTCCGGCAAGACCGGTGCTGTGTTGACATTCCGAGATTTATGCTAATCATTATAGTCAGCATTCACATCAAGTAGGGATGTGTCTACATCAGCAGGATCCTCTGTAGCTGGCGGAAGCCAAGCTCGATGTTTGTGGGGATTCTTACCGGTGAGCTATCCGTGGTACGAAACGAAGTCTTGCTCGTGGAGGCATAAACACTATTCGATACTCGCGAATGATCCGCTGCTGTAGACTTGTTTTGGAGATGCGATGACTTTGTGGGTGATATCTTGAGCGAACACCCGGACTGCTGGCGTGCAACACTGCGTAGCGGCGATGTAGGGCTGTTCCATGCTGGCTTCGAAGCAGAACTAGAAGATTTGAAAGAACTTGTATGTTGTCTATGGGACATCATTGTGGTTTCAACGGCTTCCAGAGCCTCTTTTGTTAGATACGTTGTACCCTCTCTGCCATGAGATCTACCCAAGTCCACGGAGCTTCGCGTTGCACGAATTCCCTTCGCATATCCTGGAGAGCCACTATCAGAGCTTTTCTTCAGTGTTCGTTCTTTCGCACGTTGTGCAGTCGCAAGTTTTGGACTGGCGGCTTTGGGAAGCCAATGGGCGGGAATTGGTTTCCGGGGACTCTGTTCAGACTGCCCAGTCGTCTGCGCGACAGACTGGTGTTCACTTTGCTCGTGAAATCGCTCTTGAAGAGAGCCCGCGGGGTAAATTATGGTTGGGCTGGCGCAGCAACTGGATGAGCTGGGAAGATTGTTGAATGAAACTTGGAAGACGTTAGGTCAACCGACATACAAATTGAGCAAAGCGATGAGCGCAGGTTCCTTACCATTTTTTGCAGTATCAATTTGTAGAGAGGGCCTTGTACTCAATGCAACGTCAATGCAAACATTGCCCAGGCCCTGGCTATCCAAAAGTGAGTGAGCATTAGTCAATACATGCTCACGCCTGACACGTTCTTCTTCAACCAGATCGGGGTGTAAAACCAAAGCAGTTTCGCTATTGGTGGTCACATGTTGGTCCTGGACGATGTTGTGCGAAACTGAAGAGCGACTAGCTTCTGATGGCGTAACGGAGGACATCGTGTTGTTATGTTGCGACTGGTGCTGTGGCGAATTATGCATACGTGACGAGGTAATTCTGTTGATCTCTGATGTTGAGGAATGTAAAGACGATACAATAAATTGCTTTCGGTGGCTACTACTTGCATCCGCGATGCGCTGCTGACGGCTGTTACTAACTAGGTTAGCAAATTTGGGAAGTAGAAACAAGTGAGTGAGGATACGTACAGTAAAAGCGCTGTTGCTTTGTCGCAGTAGGATACTCTGGTAAGTTGACCGTGTCGACAAGCTGAAAAATAGCAGTAATGGTAGATACACATGTTGCTGGGTAGGCGTTGTTCGCTTCCCTCTCTAGGAAAGGTCCAAGGCGATAGTACTATCAAAACAGAAGTAACAATGCAGACTCGATAAGGCAGCAAGTGCAATTTTGATGGCGATGCATGATTGGAAAGGGCTTAGTACCCAACAAACGCACATGTAAGGAGTGTGCGCCAGTGAGTGAAGGTGCGGGAATGAGGAGTGAATGGGTAGTTTGATATGATTTTACTAAGACTTTCACAACCAGCTGAATTGCTACATATGGGGAAACAATTTTCTAAACGGAAGTTCAAGAAAGGCGTCAAGTTCGACCAGCAAACTTGACGCGCAAAGTCACTGACATGAGGGCGGAATGCTGGGTATGTCTCAACTCACACTAAATACGGTAGCTCAGAACCTTTTCTTTTTCTTCTGCTGGGCCTGCTTTTTAGCTGCTTCCTCATTCCTTCGCTTAAGCTCAGCACGCCGCCGTTCTGCCTTCTCTTCTGGTGTTTCCTCAACCTCCTCTTCGGCTGGTGTCATTTCTCTAGTTACACTGTGCGGTAGTGGTGATGATGGTGGTTCTGCAGTAGGCGATTGCGTAGCCCTCATGCGAATTTTACTCGGGGAAATTGTAGTGGCGCGCTGTGAAGCGCCGTCCTTGCTAGATCGTCCTTTACCACCAATCCTAAAAGGCTTTTTGGATTTCTTTGGTGTAGAGGCGACATCTGCTTGTTTGGGAGATGGAGGGGCTGCTTCTTTCGTGGTCAAAATATCATCAGAACTGGCCTCTCCATCTGGAATACCTGGCGATGGCGATGACGATGGCGATGTTCCCCTTCGCTCTCCTCCTATGCGAAAGCTACTAACATTTGTCTTCTTCGCCGATGAAGCAATTGTTGGAGGAGGGGAAAGATGTTCAGGTGAGGGCGATTTTCGGTATTGAGATTGCAAAGATTCTTGAACTTGAGTTGGGTTGCAGCTTATTGCCGGTGTATCAAGGTCAAGCTCTTCTTCAGTGCTGTCGCTCTCATCCTCATTGTGTCCGTTTAGAGGGGGTTTCTGTCCCGACACTTTCGTAACATTCATGGGATTAACAGGAAGGTTGCGAGTCAACAGATACGTCAGTCGTGCTGATCAGTGAGTGTGTGTTTTCCACTTACTTTGAAATGCTCATGAGTATCAAACTCGTCTTCTGTCTCCTCTTCACTTGACTCTGAGGCATTTCTTAGATTCGAAAGCACCGCGGACTTCCTTGTCTTCTTGTTCGCTGGAGCCTTCGATACAGTCAAATGTGTCGACACTGATGTCCACCAACAGGCTTCCAAGTTGTTCGACTTTAGCTGTTGTGGCACAGTGGGGGTGCTCTGAACCAGTGCTTCCTGGAACAAGCCCAGCGAAGTTAGTCCCGAGTCTTCTAACTGCTCAGTCTCTTTCCTCCACACTGCCTCATGAAATGGCTTCAAAGCGGAAACGTGCTTTGCGGCTTGCTCACGTTTGATCGTCCGCCTTCCCGTCTTCATGCTACTCGCACCGGGGAAAGCGGCAGCCAAGTCCAGGTTGCTGCACTCAAATTGATCTAACAATCGATTGATTGCCTTGTCTTTGCTAGTGATTGTTTTTATGAGACTAGCGATTCGTTCATTCTGAATGTGCGAAGATACAAGCAGCGGGAGAATGAGCTCGTTCTTGAGGACTGTAGATGTACGCTTCTGCAGCTGAAACTTCCATGACAAGCGGCCGAGCGGCTCTGGAAGGATAATGCTCGCATGCAAGATGATGCCATCTTGTCCGTTCCGAGTCATCCGGCAGAGTGCATCGTCTGCATTGCCCAGAGGCTTTGCGATGTTTTCTAGAAGGACACCAAGCTGTGCTGTGTCCTGTTTGCTTACTTCAATTGGCGATTGCTCTTGCGAAGCTCGGTCCACGATATCATCCAAACTCAACTCTTCAGACCATACGTTACTCAAATCTGTAAGATGCACAATGTACGAGTCTGGGGAGAAGACGGGCTTGACAAGTAGCTGGGGTACATGCCGGTTATCTGGTTGCTCGCAGAGCCTCAGAATGCGCCAGCAAGACATGTTAATAGAATGAAAAATGAGAAGCAGCAGTCATGCCAATATTCAATGGCTGAAATGGTCTAGAGACAGGCAGACGAGGACCATGAAGCTCCAGGAGAGAGCATCACGTGGTGGTGAAAGGCAGCAGCGCCAAGCTTTGTTGCTAAAAGCGGAACAGATCCCTGTGGGTGGAAGGAGGTCCGTACGTCACCAGCCTCGGCCAAAGATTTCGCGATCGCTGTCTTTACCTAAACATTCGCACTGCGGCAACCATATCCCATAGACACTGAAACCACCACCTAATTACACATACAATATGTCGTCACGTGAACCCCCATGGCGAAATGATAGTAGTCGCCGCGCCCAAGGCAATGGGCCAGCATCATCGATTCCAGCAAAGCGCTCCGCCGAGTCGCGATCCTGCGATAATGCCTCCAAACGCTCGACCAACGCTGCAGAAGAGGCCTGGGTAGCAGACGAGGATCGTTTCGTGCTTCAACAGGCCAAGAAGAAGGCAGCCTTACGCGTCAGAGGCGGACGCGCAAAGCCCATTGACTGGCTGGCCGTCACGTTGCGCTTCATTGACCCTGCCGAGAAATCGGTACTGGACGAAGAGGTGGAAGACCACGAGTTGGACATTGTGGATCCCGAGGGTGTGCTCGAGGGCTTGGATAATGAGGACCTTGCAGAGCTGGAGAAGGAGATTGAGAACTACCTCACGCTCGAGACGAGCAAGAGTAATCGCGAATACTGGAACGTGAGTATTTGTCTTGTACACCGCCTCAACATAGCTGACCAGACCAGTCACTCAAAGTAATCTGCAAAGATATCCGGCGCAAGTCCAGGACAACCAAATCTGAGGCACGAGGCACCAGCTCTGTAGCTGCCGACATTGACCAGCTGCTCTCACCAAAGTCATATGAACAGCTCGAGGCTCTCGAAGTGCAGGTCAAGCGGAAGCTGGACTCGGACGAGCCCATCGACTATGACTACTGGGAACAGCTGTTGCGGAGTCTGCGCGTATGGAAAGCTAAAGCAAAACTGCGGCGCGTGTCACAGGAGATTGTCAAGGAGCGACTGCAGACGTTGCGCAAGCAGCAGGCCGAGGCGGCTGCATCTGTACAAGCCAACATATATTCCATGCTCAAAGGCAATGACGAGATGGCCGAGGTGCAGCCTACAACAGTTGCATACGACGCAGCCATGGATCCAGAGCCCATGCTGAAGCTGCGTGCCGAAGACAAGGCTCTGCCGCAGGTCGAGGAAAAGTCGTTCCTCGAGCACGTGACGGCTGAGCGGCACAAGATCCAGAAGGTCGGCTACGTTCCTAGCCAGACCAAAACGAACGACAAGACCGTGGCCAGTAGTCAGCCTACGACGAGCCAGGCCGTGACGACGAGCGCCTCACGGTTTGCGCCCGTCGACAAAGAAGACTACTCCAAGGCGACCATGGCACTGTATGAGCGAGAAGTGGCGCGAGGAGTTGAAGAGGGTGAAGAGGTTTTCAATGCTGAAGAAGAGGTCACCACTGCCCGTTCCCAGTCGGACGGAAGCTACAAGCCTAGGAAGCCCCGCTACTTCAACCGCGTCCAGATGGGCTACGAATGGAACAAGTACAACCAGACGCATTACGATCACGACAATCCGCCACCCAAGGTGGTACAAGGCTACAAGTTCAACATCTTCTACCCTGACCTCATTGACAAGAGCAAGGCGCCTACATACAAGATTGAGCGCGAGCATGGCCGTAAAAAGGGACAGTCGTTTGCACCTGCTGGTGAGGACGACACGTGTCTGATACGCTTTATTGCTGGCCCGCCCTATGAAGACATTGCGTTCAGGATCGTCGACAAAGAATGGGACTACAGTGCGAAAAGAGAACGTGGGTTTAAGAGTAGCTTTGACAAGGTAGGCTCAACAGTTGTGGTTTGGCCAATACGTTGCTGACGCACGATAGGGTATTCTACAGCTCCACTTCCAGTTCAAGAAGGTAGGCCAACAAGTCTAATAACGATGGTGTCACAGCTAACATGTGGCAGATATACTATCGAAAGTAGCCGTAGTTCTCGTTTTGGACATGAAGGCTGTGCAATCGAGCCAGGAGCAGCTGGCTCTTTCTCTTGCATAGCCTACCGACAATGGAACGGGGTGCAGGGCAGGCATTGCACAAGGTCTCGCGCAATGATAGGTACTATGTCGTAGCCAGCATGGTATGGATGCCAGACATGTTCCAACTACGGCACTGCCTGTGACGCCGTGTGCTGGCGGTGACCAACGCAGCACCTTGAAAACAGGAACCGCTGGCGGTGTATATAGGTACCTAAGCGGTGACGGCCTTGCTATGATGGCTGGTCAATGACGACAAACACTGCTTCTCGATGAGGCCCAACAGGGAGTCTGAAGCAGCTTCACCGGAAATCAAGGCTTGGAGGGTTGTGTTACAGGCTGGTGTGGAGACTGTCCCCAAAGGGCTGCTCGCGGCAGCCTCTTTGCAGGCGCAGGCTACCTGGTAGCATCCCTGTGCCTTGCGCATATATGGCACTGACAAGCTACTGTAGATGTGCTTGCACATTCCATGCACAGCCGCTCTGGGGCGGGCAAGCGCTTGCTGCTTAGTGGACACTCGTTGCGGTCCCTTGCCAATGACGAGGATGGGCACTG